TATATATATATATATATATATATATATATGTATATGTGTGTATATGTATGCATTTTCTCTGCTCTCCACCCACATCTGTGTACAGTGGTTTGGCACCTCCATAGTCCCAGAGCTGAAGCTGCTGTCAGCGCATCTTTGGCTGGACTGAGACCTTGATTCTACCATAGGACATGATGACTTCACTTTCTTCCAGACCACATGCCAAACATGCATGTTTGCTTTCTGTAATATTTTGAAATAAATTTCTGTTTAAATGACTCCTTTTGCATTTCATGCATTTAAGATCCATTTTAACCTCATGTGTACTTATCCTTTAGGTTGGCTGGGATCTTGGAGATGGACATGTTATCCTTTACATGGAGTACTTTGGTATTTACCTGAATAAGCCTCACATCATCAAAGTTTTTCTTGCCTCATTTGCACTTGGCCTTTGGAAATGTGGAGAATATTGCTTCAATTTCTTCTTGTAATTTATAGTGCCATATTCAACCAGACAATGATGCCCTCTTCTCTCACAAGTTCACCTTGAATCGGTTTCCTTCTCTTAAATACCTGGAAATTTGCTCTTTATGCATCTCATTTGAGTTTTATGTGGTTTACATTTAACCTTAATGTCTAATATTCTCTTCCAGGTGAGCTGGGCTGCTTCTTAGATGAGTTGGATGTGCTCCTGTCCTGCTCCTTGATGGTAGCTGACTTGTATTCATTGAGACTTTTGTAGGTGAGTGCTGAAGTTCTAGAGTTGCGCTCTTCTAGGCTTGTTTGCTCTTTGAACTCCGGAAATGTGGAGAGCTTTCTTTAGTAAAGTGCCATCTGAAAGTTCAGCTGAATCTTGGTCTCCATTTGTGCATATTCTCTTTACTGGACTGAGCCATATTCTCTCAAGTCTTTGGGGATCTTAACAACCCTTCAACACATTCTGATCAACCGTTGTTAGGTGTAGAACTTGATGAGGAGCTGAACAGTGTAGTCAGTCAGCTGCAGGTGGAGATCTAAAACCTCAAGTTCAGATATCAGGTAGTCGGGCGCCCCGAACTTAGTGATGAGACAAATTTGGTGTAAGAGATGTTAATGCGCACACTAAAGCTTTAGGGATTGATTGAACATTGGTGTGTAAGCTTAAAAAAATCAAAATTAAGTCATTAAATCATTTCTGCAGTGCTGCTTGCTTCTGTCTGACTTTGATTTTTAAAGTGGTTGGCGTTTTAAAAAGGTTTCTTCAGTTCTTAGTTTTTTTTTTCTTCTTTTTTTCTTCATTTGTATGTCCGCATTCTTTGTTCCTGTTTGTCTTATTCTTATTTCTTTTTCTCAATGTTTAATATGAAATATGATTTTCCTTTTTAATGTCATTGTGTTGATGTTTTGTTACAAGACATAGTTTTAAAGTAATTTTTTTAAAGTACTTAGACCCCTTTCCTAACCCTAACCCCTTTCCTTTGAGTTTTATGCCACTTTGTGTTTTAATCTTTGTGGTCCTTTGATTTGGCACTTTCTATTTTAGTAATTTATGTATATCTATTTCTGTTTGTTCTGTTCTCTATGCTTAATTTTCTATGTCCTTTTGCTGCTCACCCACTGAATTTTTTTTCCTAATCCGTCTGTCAATTCCAGAATCCCAAAGCTGACTTCATTCCAACTGTAGCAACACTCTGTCCTCTGGTCGAATCGGGGTCTCAGTCAAGACTAACATGAGCAAAGCAACACCTTTCCCCTCAACCAAAATCAGTTTCATTAAAATTAGGATCTGTAGAGAAGCTGGTTTGTTTAAAGGAATGGTTCACCCGGAAATAAATTAAGTAATTGTCATTAGTCAGAGAGCTTTCTGACCCTGCATAGACTCAATGGAACTACCACTATTACTACACTATTTGTTTTCTTTGCACACAAAGTATTGTCGTAGCTTCATATAAATTAAGGTTAAACACTGTTACATGGACTTTTGTAATGACCTTGTTACTATCTCTCTGGGCCTTGAATGTGTTGTGTTGCTTTCTATGCAGGGTCAGAAATCTCTTGGATTTCATCAAATATCTTAATTTGCATTCTGATAATGAACGAAAGTCTTACAGGTTTGGAACGACATGATGGTGAGTGATTAATGACAATTTTCATATTTGGGTGAATGGTCCCTTTAATGTTTGTCTTGTTTCAGTTTTTTGCAACTCCAAATATTTATTCAATGTTTTATCTGTGATCTCATCCTACAGGTATTCTGGACATCTTAAAGATCACATTTTTGGCTTTGTCAGTGCTACAGAATTCCAAGATCTTTTAATCTCACTTCATTATAAATGGCTCACAGATGGATCTAATTTTCACAAGCAGCTCATGGTGTTCCTGTTACTCTTCTAGATGCATCAGTTACAAATGTAGTGTTTAATTGTCTGCTTCGTTCCAGTGAGGTCCTGACAGTGTTAATAATTTCTCCTGGAAAATCAACTGCTGCTGAGGTGAGTCCTCCTGTGATTCTTAATATTTACAACACTGTGTATATTGCCCTCTTAACTGGGTCGAGCCATGTTCCCCAAAAAGCCTTGTGTTGGAGAATATGATCCTCCAATGCAGTCTTTGATCAATGCTAGGTAGTGGGTTGAGTCAGTCACCTGCAGGTGCAAATCCATTGCTGCTGAGCTCATATCAGATAGATGGGGCAATCCATCACTATAAACATTTTATTAGACTTGGCTGTCATGTTGGAATTAGCTAAATCCTACATTCCAGCTGAGGACATGGCAAGACACCCTCTACTTCAACTTCTTGCACAACCTAAGCCAATCAGGAGGATAGAGAACTCCCTTTTTTTTCTAGAACCATGTCAGCCACAAATGGTTGATTGTCCCCTTTTGAGCAGCTTCGCTCAAATCCATGTAAGAGACACCGGAAAAGGGTAATTTACAGGATGCTCTACAGGCCTGCAAACATAAAGGATCTAAGGAACAGTGATAACGTTTAACTCGAGCAACAGATGGCCCGTGATACACATGACCATTTTCAGCATAAATCGATAATAAAATAAACACAAATGGACAGATTTACAGCTTCACTCTGAGCTGGGAAACTCACCAGATCCCCACTGCGTGACACTTCCCTGACCTCAGGACCTTCTTCTTTTCCTCTCTATTCCAGAAAACCGCGCTTTTTTTCTTTTTGCAGACAAAGAAACGCACGCAAACTCACATGGACGATTTAAAAAGACAATCATTTAAAGTATAAAAGGGCGACTATACTCCCAAATAATATGCTTTGTCTTATATATGCTTGATGTGTTTATTGTAACCTATGAAATTTAATAAATGTTTTATAACCCCTTTTTATAGATAGTTATTAAATGTATTGTGTATGCAAGATACCTGATATTTGATATAGAATAAAAGCTTGTTTTATTCGCAGAACCTTGGTGTGAATGAAAAGTTGGTATGATATACAGTGTTTGTAGTACAACACTTTATTGAAGTTAACAAAACATGCAGGGGTATTCCCCATGTGGAAGACTAAGCATCATGTTAATTTATGCATGGAAAGGAACCGTACGGGGTGTGGCTCCGCCCTGCAACAACGTCTGATTGGGACAATCGCTCCTGGGACGGACTTAGTCGGCTCGCTTAAAACCCAATGTCAATAACCGATTCTGCGCTCTTTTGACTTTGTTTGATAGCGCTCCAACTTGCACTCCCTCACCACACCATCACGCGATTGGGCCATCCAGAACTCTCAAACACTCCGTGAAGCTTCGTGACCCTGCTGAAATCTTCAAGGTCTAAGCCGTTCAACACACTCTCAGAAGAACTTTGAACGCGTCACCCTATGTAAGTGAATCCCAAAGACGTCATAAAGGAAGATCGCCAGCCAATCAGCAACGCTGGGACTCTCTCAGCCAGAAAAGGAAACCCCGCTTTCCAGTGCAAACGTAAGTAAACGGACTTAACACTAGTTTCAGCAAGTAGAAGATTTTGTCTATCTTAAGCAACTAAAGATAAGCCAAATCTCTGCTTTTGTGATTTTCTTGGTGCAATTTAAGAACTAGGAGCAAATACTAGACTTTTGGGACTTCAGTCAAACTCCGTTAACTCTCATCCTCTGAGGTGTGTGCGTGTGCTTTTGGTAGTTTTAGTTAATGTATCCTTAGAGTGGAAAATAAATTCTTGTTTCATTATAATGAATCATTGTCTTCTGTGGTGTATTTTAAAGTTAAAACTTTGCCGAGATTTTGTTACCTAGCTCGTAGCTTAAATCATCACTAACAGTTATTATGACCTTGGCCAGGGCATAATACAAATATCAAAATTGTTAAGATATACTGATTTTAATGTTCGCTGGATGAATGGTTGATCAAGTGGAAACTATCAATTTTGAATCGAGTTTAAGTAAGCTGATTTTGAATCTTAGGGTTAGGGTTAGGGATTCTAGATCCAATAATCAGAACAAAGTCCAATTACGGTTTATGCACGGTCCGTCAACCCAACTGGCCACCAATCCGCAGCTTCCAGAGACCCAGAAATATTTTTTGCTGATGCAAAAAATTCCCAAAGGGCCCAGAAGACTAGTGGCTATCTCTCTTAGGTTTTCACGACCCAAGTGGTTGGTAAGTTTAGGGCGTGTGGTGTAGTGCACGTTTCCTCGAAGAAAGAAATACTGAGCACATCATCGGTGTAGGGTTAGTGTTAGGGCTAGGGTTAGGGATTAAAAGATCCAAAAATCGAAACAGAGTCCGAT